TCCATGGACAAGTACCCCTTCCTATCGACGTACTCCGTTGCAAGGTGGTCTGGTGCCAAAATTGGAATGTGTGTGCCCTCTATTGCCCTTCCACAGTTAGGGAAATCTATTTCTGCAAACCCATTCACTATTTCACGCACATTTCCCAGAGTCATAGTTCTTCATAGCAGGATGTGATTTATTGCCCTGCACACTTGCGTTAACACAGCCCCAACAGTCAACTTCCTGACTCCAAATTGATTCTCAACTGACTGGTAGCAGTCTGGAGTTGCTAGCTTCCACACAGCGATTGCCATACACTTCTCTACCGATAGGGCGGAGCTCTCATTATGGTGTCCTTGCGCCGCAGTGCTGGGGCGAGCTCCGCACACAGTTCCAGGAAGGTATCTTTCTGCATCCGAAAGTTCTGTAGCCACTGCTCGTCATGCCACACCTGCATGACGATATGATCCCACCATTCGGTGCTTGTTTCTTGAGCCCAAAAGCGATGATCTACCCTATGCAGCTGTTCTGTGAATACCAAAAGCAATCTAAAGTTGCTCCTATCCATATCACGCAGCATGTCAGGAGACTGGGAGTCTTTTTCAGTTAGGAACTTTACGATTAACTGCACTGCCATCCACAATGTCTTTATGAAGTTAACGGAGCACAGGAGAGCAGTGCAGGATCCGTCCCTTCTCACAAAGATACCAGGGTGCACAGCAAAGAAGAGCCGTTGAAAAATGCCGGAAAATGCTGGAAGCCCATGGAGTGCTGGGACAGAAAGCAATGCATCATGGCACATTGAACCTGGTCCCAAGATGTGCTGCGGGAAGGCGGAGTGAATTGCAACACCTAGGGACAGAAGGTGTCGAGCCGGACTGTGAGATAGGTACTCACAGTGCATTGCTCACACTATCAAATATAGTGCCCCAACTGTGGACGCCCTCTGCTGACAGAGGGAGTAAGTGTGAACAAGATATTCCGATTTTCATTAGGCCAATTTTTGAGTGTCGACATAACCTTTGTCGATAAAACTTGTTAGTATAGACAAGGTCTAACACACAACTATTGAATTCATTTTTGCTCTTTTTCTAAGGACCAGACCCACCAAGCTTAGGGCCACTTTGGAGGGACAAAAAGCAGATGAAGCAGGGCCCATGATCAAACGTTTAATCTAAGCTCTGTTGCCTTTACTTGTTTATTGTCTTTTACACTTAAGAGTGGAGTATCTTAATAATAAAATAACACCTTCATTTTTCATTTAATATTTGTGTTTGGACACTACCACTTGGAACTGAAGAAAGTGTACGTTATTTTATTAATGCAGTGGGGCAGATTCTCTGTCCTGATCTGGTCCCTTTGCACCACCTGGGAGCAAAAAATTCCCACAAGTTCCAGGCCTTGGGCTGGAAAGCTCCAGCAGTCCCCAGCTAGTTATGGAGAATCATAGTTGGCTGGTGTAAATTTGAGCAGCTCCCCAGGCTGCTTCTAACTTGTGCTGGGGAGAGCTCTAAATGGCTCCCTGAAGGTCCTCTCAGCTCTCAGCAGAAGCTGTATGCAGCAGAGACTCTGTTCTCAGATATTCCATCACACAAGCTAAACTATACACAGTAACCTTTAAAAGATTTTTAAAATAAATAAATCCCTTTATGATTTACTTTGGGGTTTGGATTCAGTGCAGAGCTGTCTACACAATCAAAAAACTGAAGCTGTCATAATGATAGGAGCTATCTGTCAACTTAACATCATGGTATTAAAATTAAGTCTATAATTTAAAAGTACCAAGAGCACTTGGTCAATTGTATTACCTTCAGTCATACCATCTTGGGCTGTGATCTTAGCTCTTATAAGCTAAGTATGGTCAAGTGGTCACTATTTGGATAGAACAACTCCAGGAACATCCACAGTGCTGGGGATACCACAGTTCCAACACAAGGCTAGGAGGAGATTCTTTCTTTCTTTTGGGTGGACACTAAAACTGAGGTCCTGAGCATCTATAGTCAACAAAACACCCATGGTGCTTTTTTGCAATAACAGGGGCATTAGTGGTCAAATTCTAATGTGGTGATAACAATATGCCTATCTAAATTAGAGTGCCTTTGCCATTTCCGTTGGATATATTATCTATTCTCATTTCCATTCCTGAAAGGTTGTATTACATTGCTGTGCTTTGTAATATAGCTACTGTTCCACACCAAAGTTGAATGCACTACAATGGTAGGGAACAGGGGTTAAAGTAGTTCAAACTAGTCAGAGAAACTCACCACTTCTGGTGGATGCCATCATGGGTTTTGATAACACTTGGGGATGCAATGCAGCAAAAAGAAGAGAATGGGGACAAGAAATGTATCCTAAAGGAATTCACATCTCAAGCAGGTACATAGCCAGCCAAAAAGAACGTGTGTGCATGTGTTTGCATGCATGACACACAGCAGCACCTCCATTTTCCTCCTACCCCTATTCCAACAGATGCAAGAGTTTAGACTTGACAAGGATAGAGAATGAGTACCAGAAACTAAAACAGAAGTTGGAGGTTTGGCAGCTTCTTGCCTCCAACAGTTTGCAATACCTGATGCCATTTCCTATAGTTTGAAAGTTGCAGGGATTTAAAAGATTTTGAATATATGTATTATGTGCTACTTCTCTATGCTTCCCCATAGGCGGAAGAAAGCCAGCAGTTGCAGGTGTCTTTCCCCCTCACCTTTGAAGGAGGAGAGTCAGCAGGGGCATAAATCTTGCTTCAGAGGAGAGGAAATATATAGGGAACTGGAACAGCTTCTTCCCTCAGGTGCTGTTGCTACTGCATGGGCTGCCAAAAAGATTGTGAGCACCAGATTCTGCCCAGCCAACTACCAGCTTCTACTGCTCTGACTTCAGATTCTCTTGCTGAGTGAGCCCCCCTCACCAACCAAAGAAGAGAGAGCCCCAAGTGTGCAGCACTGTCTCAAGCTAGACCAAAGAAAGGGAATTTTTCCTCTGCTTTTAACAGAGAAGGCGAGCTATGCTTGCCCCTGTTCCCATTTTTAATGCCAGGTAGAGAAGTGACACCTATGCATACAATAGCTACAATGCTTTGGAGTTTTTCAGCACTACATAAACCTAAGATTTTCTGGCCTGTTCTACTCTTTGTGCTACTCAGGCTGCATAGAGAACAGGAACTAGTTAAACTCTCCAACTGGGTAGTCCCCTTGCCACATTTTAAAAATTGTCCATGTCCGGGCTCGCTGTTGGCTTGTGGGAACTCAGTACAGCAGAGCATCTGGGCCAATATATTTTTATTTCAATGATATCATTTCACTAACTGTACCAATAATAGTAGAAGAAAAATGCTGGGTTGTTAAACAGAAAATACTTTGTTGCATTCGGTCATGTTTTCTGACATTTAAATAGTCACTATAGTGATAAATCATTTTTTGGTGGCGAACCATGTAACTCATAAGTAGTACACTGACACTACTATTCTTCATGACTGTTGCTAAGTTCTTGTCATTGCAGTATTCTTGGATACCAGAAAGTGGTAAGCAACAATCCTGGCATATCCAACAAGGGTGTTGGTCTGAGGACAAGTTGCCCCCTTAGAAGAAATATGTATGGAATCAGAAAATGCAGCACAGCAGCTGCTATTGAATGAATTATCACAGTAGCATGAGGGCAGCCCTGCTTGCTGGTACCACAGTTCAACAGAGCATGTAGAGACATCGAGGCACGAGACTATTACTAATGCAGATATCATGGCTAGTTAGCTCACTCCAGGCCCCTCCCACATATATGCACACTGCTGGTTGCCTCTCCAGGGCCGGCTCCAGGCACCAACCGACCAATCACGTGCTTGGGGCCACACCTTGGGGCAGGGCAGCGCTCGATTCTTTATTTCTTTATTTATTTATTATTGTGCGGCGTGGTGCTCAGAGGGGGGCGGGGGCTTCGGGTGGCGGGGGCTGGCGCGGTGCGGCGCTCGGAGGGAGGGTGGGGGCTTCGGGCGGCGTGGCACTTGGAGGGGGCGGGGCTTCGGGGGGCGTGGATTTCGTCAGCGCTCGCGGGCGGTGGGGGGTACGACAAGGCGGCTCTCTTCTTTTTTGCCTGGGGCGGCAAAAAATTAGAGCCGACCCTGTGCCTCTCTATTTGATTTTATGGAGGGTAAGAATCCTAAGAAACCCTGTTGCCAGAGTTAAAGTTCCAGTCACTATTATAACATTGCATGATGGAGGTTCAGCTCCCACTTGGGCAGTTTTAACAAATTTGGTGAAGGTTCACTTTTATTACTTTGTTCTACAACACAGCTGGGGGAAAGGTAAGGGAGTTACTTTACACCTGTTTTGGGGCACAGCTCAGACAATTTTCAATTTTATTCATTCTTTACCTGGCAACCTTTTTAACAAAAGAACATTCAATGAGTAGAAACACCGCCACTTAGGTGACCAACCACAAAACAAAGGGAGAACAGTCAGAGCAAACAGCTTCTTTCTGATCAAAAGTATTCACCCAAAATATCTGGAGAACAATTATGAATACCAAATACATTTACAACTGATGGGAATAGTTCAAGGATTGTTTGCAATTCACTCTCCAGCTATATTTAAAAATTAGACATTTCAATAGTTTGTATAATCTGAATTTGTTTGCAAACTGCAGAAGAGGGGGAGTCAATAGGATGTATTATATACAGTGGTTGTTATTAAATGGACAACATTTACCAAGTGTTCAGACATCATAAATGATAAGTGCAAGAAAGATGGATGGGTAGTTAGATAGAGACTCAGCTCTTAGTCTGGATTTACAACAATGCAACTAACTCAACTGACTTTAATGGAGTTACTTCAAAGTACGTTGGTGCAATTGAGATCAAAACTTGATCCAAAGTCAGACAGCAAAAGATCCTGTATAAAAGTACCTGAATTACCTGTTATTGTTTATTCTAAATAGAGAGAAAAAAAACTACACCTGACTTGGTGTATGGGGCAGGGGGCGGGAGGGAAGAAGGGGAAGGGGAAAAAAAGAGCTTCCCTACAGGTTCTTACCTATTCCACAGGAAGGCTGTAGTTTACTGCTGTATTTAGTTGGAGAAGACAATGTACAGGTTGGCTTCTGGAAATCATTTCTTTGTGTGCTCTGTCTGTCGTAAGGTGGACTATAATGATATACACATGCTTCCCCACTTGGCCACCAATGATGCTTTAAAGTCAAAGGGAAGAAAAATGTCTGTCTATCCAAACACTTAGGTATAAAGCAAGTATTGATAGAATGCTTCTCCAATTCTCCCTCAGTCCTCCACAAGTTTTCAATTCCCCCCCCTCCATTCTACTCTCACTATTGCTTAGCACATTCTGACTCCTAAATAGGAGAAAAATCAGCCTAGTCTGAAGTTTGATTGATATGACTCCATTGACATCCAGCATCTTTCTTCCCCCTTCTTCTGTCCTGCACTGAAATTCTTCTCTTTCCCCCTCATTGTGTCAAGGAAAGGCTCCGGCAAGGGGGAGGCAACAGAGAAAGGCTCTGTCAGCAGGGAGTCTCCCCCCCGCTGCAGCCTTTACCTGCTGCTGGAGCCTTTTATTACTGTGGAGAAAGGCTCTGGCAGTGGGACATTACACTGCTAAAAATAGCCGTGTGGACACGGGAGGCACTACTTGGGTGTGTAGAGAACTATTTTATATCTATATCCTGGGGGTTCAGGCCTGTAGAGCACTGTACTCTAAGCCAGCATTTCTCAAATGCAGCCACTGTGGTCATGTGTGGCCACCAGGGGCTTTTCTTGCGGCCACAGCCTCCTGGGCTGTGATGGGTGGGGGAAGTAGCGGCCCCTTCCCCTCTCTGTTGCTCCTGGATGCACTGCCTTGGTATTGATTGCTGGGGCCACCATCAGGGGTTGTGCCCTGTCCCCCCCCGGAGACACCTGGGGGACAACGGTGTAGGAGCAGGCAGGCAGTGAGTTCCTCACCTTCCCAGAGGCAGTTAGGCTCAGGCTTTGGGCTTCAGCCCTGGACTGGTGGGGCAACAGGCTCCGTCTGCACAACTTCAAGCTCCATCCCGAGGCCCTGTCCCCTGGCTGACAGGCTTCAGGCTCTGGCTGTGGGGCTTCAGTCTCCAGCCTCCCGCTGCCTCCCCCAGCCCAGGCTTCATTTGTCCCCAGGCTTGCCAGGGCTGTGAAAAGTGATACTTCTATGTTTGTTAATATCACTTTTCACAAACAGACTTACTAGCTAGCAATAAATAAATTACAATGGATTTGGACATATATTATGTGCATATTTATTTGTTTTTTCCTAAAGCTAATTAAGTATTTTAGGAAAAAGTGTGAGAGCGGCCACCAGCAAGAATTGGTGGCCACACTCTGAGGCCACCAAAATATGTCTTGAGAACCCTTGCTCTAAGCTATGTCTCACTGTCTACACTGCTATTTATACTTGCGCTAGCTGGGCATGCAGCGTCTGCACGCTGCATGCCGCCACAAGTGTAGATGTAGCCATAGAAATGTGATATATAAACACCCTTTTTAAGGATCACTGTTCTCTTTTAATACTAGTATACAAAAAGAATCAAATTAAATTACAAACTACAGTGTGCTAAAGTAAATCCAAGAATCTGACTTAAACTTACAAAAGCAAGGACAATCAGAGTTTAGCAACTTGCCACTTTGTGCCTGGCTAATACAAGTATCCTCACACAGTGAATGATTTTACATGGCATATATGCTGCAATACCTGGGCACAACAGAGTAAGTTAAGCAGAGATTTTAAGGTGTAATACTCTATTTTCTTACTAGTGAGGGGTTCATTCAGATCCTAGGATTAGTTAATTGAGTTATTTTATACAATATACATGTACATATTATTTAGAATATGACCTTAATTTGAAAGATAATGCAAAATGGTCCTACCTTTTTAGCCACTGTGCCTTCTGTTTCCATATAGTATATTGGTTCATTTAAGAACCTTACGTTGGTGTTAATTAATTTTGCATAATGTGGTTGGGGATTATTGCGCCACTCTGGTAAATATGAGTGCTGGAAAGACTGTTTATTCTTTTTAGGTATACATTCACCGTTGATCTTTTCTATTCTCATGTTTACTTCTGGTATATCAATATTAAATATTCTATAAGTATTTGGGCTGAAAGACATAACATGACAAAGAGTTGATTATTTCCATACATATACTATCAACAAATATTGGTATATAATAGTTATATCACATAGAAAAGGATAATAAAATACCTGCTAAGAACTTAGTAGGCCTGATTCCACTCACTACTTCCCAAATCCAGAATAAAACTGATTTCAATGGAGTTACTCTAAATTCACATGGTCATAAAGGACAGCAGAGTTTAACCCTAAGTCCTGATTAGCATCTCTCTCACTACTTTTGCACTAATGTATCTACTACCTTCAATGGGGTTACTCATGATAAATACCCATGTAGGTGAAATCAGGATGAGGCTGTACAAAGAAAAAGAGCGAGGAGTACTTGTGGCACCTTAGAGACTAACACATTTATTTGGGCATAAGCTTTCATGGGCTAAAACCCACTTCATCGGATGCATGCAGTGGAAAACACACACACACAAAAATGGGTGTTGCCATACTAACTGTGGTGAGAATAATCAGTTAAGGTGGGCTATTATCGGCAGGAGAAAAAAACCCTTTGTAGTGAAATCAGGATGGCCCATTTCCAACAGTTGACAAAAAGGTGTGAGTAACAGGGGAAAATAGGTTTTACTTTGTGTAATGACTCATCCACTCCCAGTCTTTATTCAAGCCTAATTTGGAGTGGATAGGTCATTACACAAAGTAAAACCTATTTCCCCATGCTAATTTACGCCCCCACACACTGTTACTCACACCTTCTTGTCAACTGTTGGAAATGGGCCATCCTGATTATCACCACAAAAAAATTTTTTTTTCTCCTGCCAATAATAGCCCACCTTAACTGATTACTCTTGTTATAGTTAGTACGGCAACACTCATTTTTTCATGTCCTCTGTGTATATATATCTTCCTATTGTATTTTCCACTGCATGCATCTGATCAAGTGGGTTTTAGTCCACAAAAGCTTATGCTCAAATAAATTTGTTAGTCTCTATGGTGCCACAAGTACTCCTGTTCTTTTTACTGATACAGCCGAACACGGCTACCACTCCGAAAGCTGTACAAATAGCTTCTGCTGACTTGGCTGTTACAATGTGAGTTGGCATCCCAGGACTCTGATCCCCTGTAAATAAACTTGTATCAGACTTATGGATATATCTTACTTGACAATTGAGAGCTCAAGACCATTTCACATTCTGAATTCTTGGGTTGGGCTGCCTATTTTCAAATTCTTCCTCACAATGCCCAGCATTCTAGTCCTGATCCTTCGTAATCCAGTTTTTGCCCTGGACATTCTACCAACACAATCCTCCCTAGAATTATTAATGACTTACTTGTATCGAATTTCCAATATCTCACTTCTTTTCTGATCTTCCTTGACTTAGCTCCTTTTGGCACTGTGGATCCCTCACATCTCTATAACCTTGGCACATATGGTTTTTCTGACTGGATCTCCAATGCGTTTCTTCCAACTTATCTAAGAAATCTTTCACATCATACTAGGATAATAACCGTTTTTTCTTACATCCTCTCTAAGCTGGTGTCCCCAAGGGATCTGTTCTTAGTCTCCTCCTCTTGCCTTTATACTCTGCCTACATTATCTCTGATCACAGTTGACAATATCATTTGCACATTAATGACACTCAACATTTCTCCTTTCCTTCCTTTTCTCTTGCAATCTCTCATTCAGGCTTTTCTCCAGTTCCATAAAATGGAATAATAAGTTGAATATTCAAGTTACAAAGAAAACAGCACCCCCAATTCAAAATACCCAGACTACCTCAGAAGAATTTCTAAGTGAATAAATACTTTATTAGAAAAATAAATAATAAATAGAACTGATAATTAACATAAAAGATATAGCTAGTGTTTCAACAAACAGTGTCTTCCTCAGAACCAAACAATAGCTTCAAGTCATGAACAGGAAATAAACCACCACATAATACTACCAATGGATATCAATCACTTAACTCATACTAATAATTGCTGGATTCAGAGCAATTAACAAATAAGGAGTCATTGAGGAGCCTTGGCTTTGACAAGACACTTTTGTATGCAAACATTAATAATAACTTTATTAGCATGATAGTAATGCCTAGAGGCCTGATCAGGATAAGGACCCTATTGTGGGGAAGCTGTACAAACACACAGTAGAAAGACACAAATGACAATCTTTCCATTGACTTCAGTTGAAGTGGCTCAGCTCTCTGAGAAGTTTACAATCTCATTTTATGCTAAACATCATTTCTGTTCATTAATACAATAGTCTTTATTTCAAGATATTTTGTTGGACTGGAAAAGTAACTAAAGAAAAGGTAACTGTTACCTGTAGCAGCACTTGGCAGGATATCCCAGGATATTAGAGAGACTCTAGACTCAGACTCTAAGGTCAGAAGGGACCATTATGATCATCTAGTCTGACCTCCCGCATGATGCGGGCCACAAAAGCTGACCCACCCACTCCTGGAATAATTCTCTCCCTTGACTCAGCTGTTGAAGTCCCCAAATCATGATTTAAATACTTCAAATCGCTGAGAATCCTCCAGCAACCGACCCCTGCCCCATGCTGCGGAGGAAGGCGAAAAACCTCCAGGGCCTCTGCCAATCTACCCCAGAGGAAAATTCCTTCCCGACCCCAAATATGGCGATCAGCTGAACCCTAAGCATGCGGGCAAGATTCTCTAGCCAGACCCTCTGGAAAAAGTTCTCTGTAGTAACTTTTAATATCCCATCATTGACTATTGTTACTAATTACCAGCGATGGCACGTTATTGACCTATTGACTAAAATCACTTTATCCCATCAAACCATCCCCTCCATAAATTTATCAAGCTTAATCTTAAAGCCAGAGAGGTCTTTCACCCCCACTGTTTCCCTCGGAAGGCTGTTCCAAAACTTCACCCCTCTGATGGTTAGAAACCTTCGTCTAATTTCAAGCCTAAACTTCCCAACAGCCAGTTTATATCCATTTGTTCT